GTTCCTCAATTTTCATCATAGACTGATTTTCAGTAACAGAAATGCTAGGAAGTTGTCCCAACTTCAGATTTCATAATGGCTTGCTGACTACCCTGTTGGGGCCTAACTGATGCTTTTCTATTGCTTCTCTACATTAGATAGTATTTGGTAATTGGGTTTGCATTACTCTGAATTTTTATGTCTTCTGGGATCAGTTATAAAATCACAGGAGTTGTAAAACTGGAATACATTTTCAGTATGAACAACTAATTACATTCTCTTAGAAAGATTTTAATGCCCAAGATCGAAATTAGTGAATTTTTTACATATTTAGGCAGCTTTCTTTTCCAATAGGTTGTCAACTGAAATGTAGCATTTGATAAAGGGTCAGAATCAGTTGGAAAGTTTTAAGCAGGGAATTGATATGACTGAGTGCTTGTCCTTTCCAGGAGAAGGTTTCTGAAAGGGAATTCAGGGAACAATTGTTTTATTCAAACGAATAATTCTGGGGAAAACTGGAGGCGGGAGGGTAGGGAAGGAAGCAACCTAATAGACAATGTTTTATTTCTACTCCGAGTGAGGTTTTCCTTCATATCCAACCAGATATAGCAGTGCATGTTTCTGGTGGCTTTGCTGTTACTGTGGCAAGCTGCTGCTGGTGAGGGAGAGAACTGGGGTGATGTCATCCTTTCCCTCATCCCAACCTAGGTGATTGACATGAAATAGCTCTTGGGATGAGATTTTTGCAGCAACTCTACCAACCGATAGTTGTATATGTGCCACATTATCTTTGTCCAGTCTATCATCGATTCCTCAAGGACCTAGAAATAGAAATTCCATTTGACTCAGCAATCCCATTACTAGGTATATATCCAAAGGTTTACAAATCGTTCTACCAAAAGGACACGTGCACACGAATGTTCATTGCAGCACTGTTTACAATAGCAAAGACCTGTAACCAACCCAAATGCCCATCGATGATAGACTGGACAGGGAAAATGTGGCACATATACACCATGGAATATTATGCAGCCATCAAAAACGATGAGTTCGGGTCCTTTGTAGGGACATGGATGAACCTGGAAACCATCATTCTCAGCAAACTGACAGAGGAGCAGAAGATCAAACACCGCATGTTCTCACTCATAGGCGGGTGTTGAACAATGAGAACACATGGACACAGGGAGGGGAGCACTACACACTGGGGTCTGTTGGGGGGAAATAGGGGAGGGATGGTGGGGGGTGGGGAGTTGGGGAGAGTTGGCGGGGGAGAGATGCAAGACATAGGTGATGGGGAGGAAGGCAGCAAATCACACTGCCACGTGTGTACCTATGCAACAATTTTGCATGTTCTTCACATGTACCCCAAAACCTAAAATGCAATAAAATAAATTTAAAAAAAAAGAGAGAGTCAAAGACCTAAGCAAATAGAAAGACACACAATGTTCATGAATTGGAGAACTCAACATAAAAAGATGTCAATTCTCCCCACGGTGATTTACTTATTTAATTCCATTTCTGTTCAGATCTCATTTAAATTTCTATTAAAATGGATTTTCAGTGGAAAAAAAAAAAAGAAATAAACATGCCATGGTGGTTTGCTGCCTCCATCCCCCTGTCACCTACATTATACATTTCTCCTAATGTTATCTCTCCCCAATCTCCCCACCTCCTGCTATCCCTCCCCTAGACACCCCCCACCCCTCAACAGACCCAGTGTGTGATGTTCCCCTCCCTGTGTCCATGTCTATTGGGAATATTAGTGTCATTTTTTAGTGCCTGAGGAAAAATTTGAACTACATTTGACAAATACATAGGCTTTCGAAAACCGCTAACTCTGGGTTAAGAAACTTTAGCCTGTATGTAAGCTTGGATAACCTTTTTCACTGAAATTAAAACAAATAACAGTTGTAATGCCAAAATACTTGAATAAGGGGTCCAGATACTAGCTACTTTAAGCAATTTCAGTTAGGGAGAAGATTTTTAAAAGATGCAAAGCTCTCAGGACCCTAAATTAGGAGTGTGTGTGTGTGTGTGTGTGTGTGTGTGTGTGTGTGTGTGTGTTAAAAATTAAAGACAGAATTCTCTATTTCTAAACAGGCCTAATAAATTTTTAACTGGACTGGGCACAGTGGCTCATGCCTGTAATCCTAGTATTTTGATGTATAGATTTTTTCATTCTTCTATAGAATTGATTATTTCCTTTATTGTGCAGAAACTTTTCAGTTTGATGTAATCCCATTTGTCTGCTTTTGCTTTTGTTACCTGTATTTTTGGGGTCAAATCTAAAATATTATTGCACAGACCAATGTTGTATAGTTTATTCCCTGCTTTCTCTAGTATTTTCATAGTTTCAAGTCATGTTTAATTCTTTCATCAATTTTGAGTCGATTTTGTATATGGTGAGATCAGGGTTCAATTTTATTCTTTTATATATGAATATCCAGTTTTCCCAATACCATTTAATAAGGAAATGATTTTTTTCTCATTGAATATCCTTGTCATCTTTGTTAAAAATCAATTGACCATAGATATGTGTTCATTTCTGAGGCTCACTATTCTGTTCCATTGGTTGTTGTAATTATTTTTACACCAGTACCATGCTGTTTTAATTACTGTCACTTTGTGTTACAATTTGAAATTAAGTAGTGTGATGCTTCCAACTTTTTCTTTTTCTTTTGTTTTTTGCCCATGCTTACCTTTGCTATTGTTTTTTTTTTATTTGAGATCCATAGAAATGTTACAATTTTTTCTATATCCATGAAAAATGACTTGCCTTTCCAACAATCCCCCAAAGTCTTAACTCATTCCAGCATTAACTCAGAAGTCCAAGTCCAAAGTCCCATCTGAAACAAGGCAAGTCTCTTCCACCTATCAGCCTGTAAAATCAAAGCAAGTTAGTTATTTCAAAGATACAATGGGGGTATAGGCATTTGGTAAATATACCCATTACAAGGATAGAGACATCAGTCAAAACAAAGGGGCTACAGGCCCTATGGGAGTCCAAGCAGGGCAGTCATTAAATCTTAAACCTCCAAAACAGTCTCTTTTGACTCCATGTCTCACATCCAGGCCACACTGATGCAAGGCGTGGGCTTGCAGAGCCTTGGGCAGCTCCTCCCCTGTGGCTCTGCAGTTGCTTTCTTGGACTGGCATTGAGTGCCTGTGGCTTTTCCAAGGGCATGGTGCAAGCTATTGATGCATCTACCATTCTGAGATCTGGTGGACAGTGGCCTTCTTTTCACAGCTCTGCTTGGCAGTGCTCCAGTGGGGACTCTGTGTGGGGATTCAATCCCATGTTTCTTCTCCACACTGCCTTAGTAGAGGTTCTCCATGAGAACTCCACACCTGCAGCAGTCTTCTGTCTGGTCATTTATGCATTTCCATACAACCTCTGAAATCTAGGTGGAGGATCTCAAGCTTCAACTCTTGCTCTCTGTGCACCTGCAGGCTTGGAAGCCCTTGGGGCTTATAGCTTGCACCCTCTGGAGCAGTGGCCTGAGATGTATCTGGTGTCCTTTTAGCACAGTAGGAGCTGGAGCAGCTGGGACATAGGGTGCCATGTCCTCAGGCTGCACAGAGTAGCAGGGCACTGGGCCTGCCCACAGAATTATTTTTCCCTCCTAGACCTCCAGTTCTGTGATAGGAGGGGCTACCACAAAGGGCTCTGAAACATCTTGGAGGTATTTTCCCCAGTATAATGGCCGTTAACATTTGCCTTGTCTTTACTTAAGCAAATTTCTACAGCATCCCTGAATTCCTCCCCCAGAAAATGGGCTTTTCTTTTCTGCCACATGGCCAGGCTGCAAATTTTCCATTTGTGCTCCTTTTCCCTTGTAAATAGAAGTTCCAGTTTCAGATCATATCTTTATTTATGCAGATGAGAATAGGCTTTTAGAAGCAGCCAGGTCAGCTCTTGAATGTTTTGTTGCTTAGAAATTTCTTCTGCCAGATACCCTAAATCATCTCTCTCAAGTTCAAAGTTCCACAGATCCCTAGAGCAGGGGCACAATGCCACCAGTCTCTTTGCTAAAGCATAGCAAGAATGACCTTTATTCCAGTTCCCAATAAGTCTGGTGGGGGGAAATAGGGGAGGGACAGTGGGGCATGGGGAGTTGGGGAGAGATAGCATGAGGAGAAATGCCAGATATAGCTGAAGGGGAAGAAGGCAGCAAATCACACTGCCATGTGTGTACCTATGCAACAATCTTGCATGTTCTTCACATGTATCCCAAACCCTAAAATGCAATAAAAAATAAAAATAAATTTTTTTTTAAAGTTTCTTATCTGCATCTGAGACCATCTTAGCCTGAACTTTATTTACCGTATCACTATCAGCATTTTGGTCACAATTTAACAAGGCTCTAGAAAGTTCCCAACTGCCCCTTATCTTCCTGTCTTCTTCTGAGCCCTCCAAACTGTTCCAATCCCTGCTCCTTACCCAGTTCCAAAGTCACTTCCCCATTCTCAGTTATCTTTACAGCAATGCCCCACTTCTCCAGTAACAGTTTTCTGTATTAGTCCATTCTCATATTGCTATAAAGAGCTACCGGAGACTGGGTAATTTATAAAGAGAAGCAGTTTAATTGGCTCAAGGTTCCACAGGCTGTATAGGAAGCATGGCTTAGGAAACTTTCGATCATGGTGAAAGGGGAAGGGGAAGCTGGCACATCCTACATGGCTGGAGCAGGAGGAAGAGAGCAAAATGGGAAGTGCTACACACTTTTAAACAACCAAATATTGTGAGAACTCACCCACTATCCTAAGAACAACAAGGGAGAAGTCTGCCCCCATGATCCAGTCACCTCACACCAGGCCCCTCCAACATTGAGGATTACAATTCCACATGACATGTGGGCAGGGACACAGAAACAAATCATATCAAGTTCTAACAGGTTTTTTTGGTGAAATCTTTTAGTATGTTCAATATATAAGATCATGTCATCAGCAGACAGGAACAGTTTCACTTCCTTTCCTATTTGGATGCCTTTTAATTCTTTCTTTTATTTTATTGTTCTGGCAAGGACTTCCAAGCTATGTTGAATGTAAGTGGTGAGAGTGAGCATACTTGTCTTATGCTAGATTCTAGAGGAAAGGGTTCCAATTTTTCACCATTGAGTATAATGTTAGCTGTTTCTTACATATGACCTTTACTGTGTTGAAGTACTGTTATTCTATAGCTAATTTGTTGAGTGTTTTTATCATGAAAGAACATCATGAAAAATTTTGACAAATGACTTCCTTCATCTGATGACATGATCATATGATTATCTGTCTTTTATTATATTAGTGTGGTCTATCTTATTTATTGATTTGTGAATGTTGAATCATCTTGCATCCCAGGAATAAGTCTCACTTGATCATGGTGAGTGATCCTTTTAATGTGTAGTTGAATTTTGTTTGCTAGTATTGTGTCGAGGACTTTTGCACTGATGTTAATCAAAGATATTGTCTGGTAGCTTTTTCTTATGATGTCTTTGTCTGGCTTTGGTATCAGAACAATGCTGGCCTCATAAATAGGTTTGAAGATATTCCTTTCTCTAATTTTTTGTAAAAGTTTGTGGAGAACTGACATTAGTTATTCTTTAAATGTTTGGTTAAATTCAGCAGTGAAGCAATCAGGTCTTGAGCCTTGTTGCTGTGGATTACTGACTTAATCTCCTAGCTCATTATTGGTTTGTTCAGATTTCCTATTTCTTTACGATTCAGTGTTGGTAGGTTATATATGTCTAGGAATGTAACAATTTCTTCTAAGTTATCTAATTTTTTGGCATATAATAGTTCTTATGATTCTTTGCATTTTTGTTATGTCAGTTATAATATCTCTTCTTTCATTTCTGGTTATGTTTGAGTCTTTTCTCTTTTTCTCTTGGTTAGTCTAGCTAAAGGTTTGTAAATATTATCTTCTCAAAAAAATGAAACCTATGTTTATTTGTATTGATCTTTTGTATGCTTTCTAACTTCTATTTCATTTATTTCTGCTCTGATATGTATTATTTCTTTCCTTTCCATAACATTGAGATTACTTTGTTCTTCGTTTTCTATTTCCTTGAAGCCCAACATTGTTTATTTGCTACTGTGTTCTTTTATGATATAGGAATTCATTGCTATGAAGTTTCCTCACAACTGCTTTTGCTGCACTCCGTAAGTTTCCATATGTAGTGTTTCTATTTTTGTTTGTCTCAAGATGTTTTTACATTTCTCTTTTAATTTCTTATTGATTCATTGGTTGTTCAGGAACATGTTGTTTAATTTCCATGTATTCGTGAATTTTTCGAGATTCCTTCTGTTATTAATTTCTACTTTGATTGTGATCAGATAGATACCTGATATGGTTTTAATATTAAATTTTCTAAGACTTGTCTTGTGGCCTAACATATTACTGATCCTGGAGAATGTTCTATGTGCACTTGAGAAGAATGTGTATTCTGTTGCTGCTGCATGGAATGTTCTGTATATGCCTGTTAGGTCCGTTTAGTCTAAAGTTTTGTTTGAGTCCAATGTTTTCACTTGTCCATTACTAAAAGTGTTGTATTGAAGTCTCATATTATTACTGTATTGCAATCTATATCTCTCTTCAGATTCTTAATATTTGTTTTATATATTTAGGTGTTCCACTGTTGGGTACATATGCATATATATTTATAATTGTTAAATCCTCTTGATGAAATGACAAGTTTATCATTATATAATATCCTTCTTTGTCTGTTTTTACAGTTTTTTACTTAAAGTTTATTTTGCCTGACATGAGCATTGATATGCCTACTCTCTTTCATTTTCTATTTGCATGAAATATTTTTCCCTCCCTTCACTTTCATCTAAGCATGTCCTTAAAAGTGAAGTGAATTTCTTATAGGCATCATATAATTGGGTATTGGTTTTGTTTATCCATTCATTCACTCTATGTCTTTTTATTGGAGAATTTAATCCATTTACATTCAAGTAATTATTTAGGTAAGGACTTATTGTTACTGTCATTTTGGTAATTAATTTCTGGTTGTTTTGTAGATACCTTGTTTCTATTTTCCTCTCTTGCTGTCTTTGTGGCTTGATGGTATTCTGTAGTAATATGTTTTGAATGTTTTTAATTTTTGTTTTGTCTCCTATAGATTTTTGCTTTTTGGTTACCATGAGGCTTACACAGAACATCTTATATCAGTTTATTTCAAGTTAATAACAACTTAAATTTGATTGCACCCAACAACCTTACACTTTTATTCTCCCATCGCTCCATTTTATGTTTTGGATGTCTGAATTTATAGGTAGATGAAATTATAGCTAGAAATTATAGCTAATTTTCTCCTATGGCTCTCCCTTGATGAGTACCTAGTTGTAAACTTAGTGCCAGATGTCTCCTGAGATACCTCAGATTTCACAGTAGAAAATTAGTCTAAGGGTTACTACTTTGTTGTATTTCTTGAGACCTACTGATATTTCCTGTCTCTTTGACAAACATGTTATTGACTCAAATTAGCTATTCATGAAAGAAGCACTGCCCTGTCTATTTAGGGAACACCTCAGGAATTTTACATCCCAACACCAGGGCTATCAAAACAAGAAAGATAAGAAATGTGTTTTTGAGGGGTAAGGCTGACTGCCTTGATGAATTAGTCTTGGTTTTGTGGTTTGAGACTAGTCTCTGCTGGTGTTCTAACTAAGAAAACAAAACAACTGATGCAGACAGAAACTAGTAAAAGGAATCTTTCCATATTTTCCCTTTGTAGTATTCAGAACTACTTCATAAAATGAAAAAAGTGCTCAAAAACATACTTAATTGGCTACATTGTGCTAATATGCCTATGTGGTCTCTTTTTAATAGTTTAATCTACATTAGCTATAGGTTCAGAGTTCCTGATTTAAACCATAAAACACAGAAAATAACTTAAGTGACCTTTTCCTCAATTTTCTCAAAGATGGGACATAAGTAGGACCTCTCTAGCTTCAGATAATAGACATTTGTTCATTACATGCTATGGATGTTGTAGTTATTAAGGCCTAATTCTCTCAAAACTGGCTGAAAGTAGTTGATTGACAGTCAAGTCTACCTCTAGATATATAGGATATAAATTATTGCCAACAAAAGGATAAGGATCAAAAGCTTTCAGTACTGAAAATGGTTAAACCAAAATCAAACAAAAAATCAAGATAATGCTTTCTTCAACTCAAGTTTTTTTCTGTCTTAGACATAAACGCTTATTTTGTTTTGAGATATAATTTATATACAATAAAATTCGCTCTATTTATGTGTACAATTCAATGAATTTTGACAAATTTATACAGTTATATAACAATCACTAAAGTTAAAATATGGATTTATTCCCTCATCACCCTTTGTAGGAGTCAGTCTTCCTCCTCCATTTCCAGTTACTGGCAACCACCGATCAAATTTCTATCCCGAAGTTTTGTTGTTGTTTTTTTTTCCCCAAATATCATATAAATTGAATCATTCAATATGTATTATTCTGAGTCTGGCTTCTTTCTCTTAGCATAATGCTTCTTAGATTCATCCATGCTGTTGTGTGTATCTGTAGTTCTTTCTTTTTCATTGCTATACAGATACAACAATTTAGGTTTATAAAATCAATTATGAAAAACACATCAAATAATTAAAGGTGTATCAGACATCAAAAAGACATTTGTGCTGTTTTATTGTCATTGAGCATTGGCTCTTCACCATGTTTTCCTGTCCATTCTGGACCACTGAGCTATCATTAGTCCTAAACCACAGGTATGCAGTACCCAAGCATGCATGGCTTCTGTAGGCACAGGAATCAGCTTTCTAGCTTGCTTGGGAGCTTGCTATCACAGGATTGCTAATGGAATCATTAGAAGGGTTTTTGCTCCTTTTTTTTCACACAGTGGGTTAGAGAAATATTTTGCTGATTATCTCTAAAACTGAAAACTTGTAAATTATTGTCTGCAATCTTCCAAGCCAGTCACATGTAGAAAATTGACTTTTGTCATAGTGAGAGGAGAATTAAAGTTGTGAGAGCTACAACACCAATTTACTTTCCATCCTTGCTGAAAAGGGCATCTTTTCTCTTACCTTTATTTTGATTATTTGTTGGGCGTTGTGATCACTTGCTTTTGTTAGTCTTCCTCTTGCTGTGGCAAAATGTTGGGTTGAATTAGGAACCTCATCCTTTTTGTCTATTTGTAGTATAAGTGAAGCTCAGCAAATAGGGCTCCAGTGCCTCTTCTGCAGCTTTGACTAGACCAAGAACCTTTTCTGCAGCACAAACATGGCAGGATCCTTCATGACTGTTCATTTGTACGTTTGTTTATTTGCTGTTGTTTTTGCTGAGAATGACTTTGGCTTTCTTTTCTGCCTGAGTAATTCTTACTTGTTCTTCAAGATCAGACCAAATATTACCCCCTCTATGATGCCAAATTCTCTAAGTCTTTTTAGTCATACCTGCTGAACTCTTTTCTTGTTTTATTTTAAGACCTATTACATTGCTCTGTGATAATCTGTTCACATTTCTGTATCCTTCCTAGACTCTGAACTCCTCCCAGCCAAGAAGTACATGCTGATTGTTACTGACTTAACATAAAGTACACACTCAATAAATGCTCTTGACTGACCCTTTAAATTTGCAATATAGCTACATGTAAATGCAGAGGCTTTCTTTAATTTCAAAAATGAATGATAGAAGCATTTGCTAAACAAGAAAATATGTTTAGTAAAAGCCATTTATATATTAATGTATTTAGGCAAAGTGGTAGTCATAAGATTTGATTGATCTCAGAATTGGATTTCTCTCACCCTCACGTAATCAGTATGATTATAAACCACATGTAATGGGAAAGAAAAGTCAAAGAATTAAAATAATTCCATGACTCTTGTCTCCATTGTTAAACTGTGGTATATGTATAAGCAATTACTTTAATCATATCAGCAAAATATTAGGGCTGTGGAATTAAACAATTGTTGAGTATGAGTATGTCCCATGTGATATTTGCAACGTCCTTATAATAATAAAAAAGTTTGTTGCTTATCTTAAGTTCAAGTTTAACTGCATGCCCCCTCTTTTATATGACAACCCTAGCCAAAGTGAAACCTCCACAATTCACATAGTTGAAGGACTAATAGGGAATACAGACAGTACTCTTGGAAGTCAGTTCAGAAATATATCATGAACAATGTGATGCCACGATTCTTTAGACTAGTCCATATACTTCAACTCAGCAGCATGATAATCTTTGCCAGGGTAGAGTGCAAGACCAGAAAGTGAACTGAGTTCAGAAAGAGAAGTGGGAGTGGTAAAGTCACTGACCATATGGTCCTTTGGGTTAAAGACGGCAGGATTTAAAGGTCTGTAACTATGGTAGATTAAAGATGGCCACAAATTCTTTGCTACTATTTTTACTAGAGGTCTACTGACTTCCTTTTGAATGTGGATGGGCTCTGTAACTGCTTTGGCCAACAGAATAATAGCAGAAGTGACACCGTGCCAGTTTCTGAGCCCAGGCCCTAAAAGTCTGTGAGTTTTCACTTCCTGTTTCTTAGAACACTAGTTTTGAGATCTCTGAGCCTCCATGTAAGAAGTCCACCTTCCCTGAGACTGCCATGCTGGAGTAGCCACATGCAGGCACTTTGGGTTGACAGACCCAGCTGAGCGCCGACTTCCTGCTGTCACCATGAAGTGACATGAGAAAGAAGCTGTTGTGGACCATTCAGACCCACCTAAGAGTTGAACACCCTCAAGTGAGCTCCTTCAAGCCACACAGAAAAAGAAAAAAAAAAAAACCCACCCAGCTGAGCCTGAGCCTTCTCTGAATTTCTGACCCATGATATCTGGAGATGTAATAAAATGATTGTCTCTTTAAGCTGCCAAATTTCGTATGGGGGCTTTGTAACTATGATAGGTAACCAGAACAGTGAATATAAACACAAGTTTCCCTGATCAAATGGTGCCTTAAGAAAGAAGTATTTGCCATTGTTTTGGCTTCTAAACTTCTTCATTTGTTTGTTTGCCAAGTAAATCTTGCTTAGAAAGAAATCTTACCTAGAATGCAATACTTAATAGAGCTCAAAGTCAAGCTGCCCGGGCCGAGGCTTAGCTAGGAGTCCAGAGTCACATCTTCTCTGTCCTCTGGTCCTAAACTCCACACACGCCAGGGGATGTTCTGTAGCCAAGCAGAGAGAGATTGTGAGGTATGTCTGAGACCTAACCTAAGAGGCAGGTGAACCACAAGAAGACGTGCAAACCTGGAACTAGATGCAGAGACTATGACCATGGGGAACACAGCAAAACTGTCAGCATCAGATAAAGCCCTGCTTAAATGTGCAGAAGACGGCAAGAAGTCAGGGTTGAAAACACCAACAGCTGAACATGCTGTAACAAAGAAACTTTCTGAAGGTAGAGGGGATCCCTGAGAGAATGCAGCAAGAATCTGAGAACCCTGACAGGGAGTGTCATCTGGAATCCCAAAGGAGAATGATGCAAGACAAGGACTCTGACCTAAGCTACTCAGGGATCAAAAGACTATACTAATTCCTTTGTGAGGAAAGATTAATTAAGACCACACCTGGGTTATATGTGCTGTAATTACTGATATTTATCTGACTTAATTGCCAAGTAAATCTGTTTCTAGTTTTACTTTGGCTCTTCTCAAATTAGGTCTTTTGTTTTCTGAATATTACACATAAGATCTCTGTGTAGATAATGTTGAATGAGAAGTACTGGGAATGGGTGGCCTCAAAAGATTATCTAGTTATGTTCTTAGTACCTAAAGAGAGACTAGCTTTGAGTGAGCAAGGCCTCTGTATAAAAGACACTACTTCGATAACATATACCCGGGAGAACCTTGTACAGCTTGAACGTTGCCACACACATTTGACATTTCAGAAAACTACTGGTTTATTTAAAGCAAGGCACACGTACATTATAAAGGTGTCATCCTGGCCAGGTGTGGTGGCTCACACCTGTAATCCTAGCCCTTTGGGAGGCTGAGGCAGTTGGATCACTTGAACTCAAGAGTTCAAGACCAGCCTGGGCAACATGATGAAACTCTGTCTCTTCCAAAAATAAAAATAAAGTAAAATAAAAAGTTAGCCAGGCATGGTGGTGCACACCTGTAGCCCCAATTACTAGGGAGGCTGAGGCAGGAGAATCGCTTGAGCCCGGGAGGCAGAGGTTGCAGTGAGCTGAGATTGTGCCACTGCCCTCAAGCCTGGGCAACACAGTAGGACTCCATCTCAAAAAAAAAAAGTGGCATCCTATTTTAGAATAAAAACTTAGTGTATTTTTTTCTGTATATACTTGAAAAATAATTTTATCTAATAAATATGTATGATGATCATAATAATTATTTAGTCTTATTACATGCACCCTTCTTCCAAGGAAGTGCAAAGCTTTTAAACAAGCCACTTTTAAAAACTGTCACATCCTATTGCATGAAGCAACAACCAGAGAAGCCCTGACTTCGCATTTTAGTATATTAATAGGCTCAATTCCTAGCTTAACCTAGGTTGGCCCCTTGGAAGATCTTAGGAGTGTTTTATTAGGAAACAAAGTGAACATATAAAGGTTTGGTAATATCTGCACCCTGATATTATTCTCAGTATGCATCCACAGCCTACAAAGCTAAAGCTCCTTCAGAGCCAATAATGCTGCATGCTGGAAAGCAGATCAGCAAATAGCTCAAATTTATTCCCAATCCATAATGCTGACCACATAACAACAGGAAAACAGCCATGATAATGCTATCATGGCGTGGTGAGTTGTTGTAACAATAGCTCAATGGCTTGATAGCCTCAGCAGTAAAATATCTAGGCATCTGAACTTTAAAAAAAAATTGCAGCAATTTTTAGTGAGAGCAGCAAAAACATATTTGTAACCGTAAGACACTGCTTCATTTTCTTGCCTGTTAACCTTCCTGCTGGAGCAATTGCTCCCCTGACTGCATTGTTTGATGATGAAGTGATCAATTTCTGGACACCCAGCAAGTTGCTGTATATTTGAAACTCTCCAGGGCTGGAGTAGGCAATTATTTTCACTTCCAGCTCAGCTTGGTATGTTTCACTGAACACAAATAACTTTCTATGGAAGGTGAGTGCTTTTTGCCCATCTGTTGGCACACACATTTCAGAGATAATGGTAATAGCTCCACATGTTTTCAGGAACTGTATTTCTGGACTGATTAATTTTATTCTTGCTCTCACAGCTTTGGGTTCCGAAGGGCCGTAGTCTTCATGTACCTCAGCACTTCCTGAAGACTTCCTTGGTACTGTTCAAAGTAAGATATAACGAGTTGCTCAGTCGCATACATTCTTTACACCTTCACTGCTTGTTCTCTCAGACATGCTATCATACCCAAGGCACATGGTGAGATGGAAAGACACTGCATCCGAAGTCAAAGGACCAAGGTTTTTGATTCTCAATACCCCCCTTGCATGATGGGCAACGGACGTTTCACTCTGCACTTTGCTTCTTGATTTCTTCATTGAGGAACAGTAAAGTTGAATCTGTTCCCGGCTGTCAGACTGCCAAGGGTATCAGTAGTTTGCTTTCCTCTTCTGGAAAATGACATTAGTACTTAATGCTACAGTGTTTACTTTGTGCCCAGCCATTTACTAAGTGCTTTACATATATATTTATTCTTTTAAGACTCATGACAACCCTATCAGGTAGTGTATTAGTACATTTTGCATTACTATAAATACCTAAGACTGGGTAATTTATAAATAAAATATGTTTATGTGTATATTTGGCTCATGGTTCTGCAGGCTGTAGAAGCATGGCACCAGCATCTGCTCGACTTCTTATGAGGCCTCAGGAAGCTTATAATCATGGCAGAAAGTGAAGGGGAAGCAGGTATGTCACATGGCAAGAGAGATGCCAGACTCTTTTAAACAACTAACTCTCATGTGAACTAACAGAGTGAGAAATTACTCATTACTTCAAGGACAGTACCAAGCCATTCACGAGGAATCTGCCTCCATGATCAAAACACCCCCTACCAAGCTCTACCTCCAACACTGGGGATCACATTTCAACATGAGACTGGGAGGGGGCTCACATTCCAAACCATATCAGGTAAATGTTATTATTCTCATTTTGCAGGTGATAAAAATGAAACACAGAAAAATAAAGAAACTTGTCCAAGCTTGTACAGTTGGTAAGAAACAACTTTGAACCCAGGGATTTGAACCCAGGCAATTTGCTCCATAATCTGTGCTGCACTACCTGCCCCTTGGGTTGTTATATAGCTTAGCTGCACTATCAATAAAATGTGTGTAATATGATCAATCCTACAGACTTCACAGGAGTGTGCTGTGTATCAGAGTCACAATTGATGTGAAAACAACGTGAGGTGAACTGAAAGTGCTTTAGAAACCATGATGTATTGTTACCTTCTCTGCAAAGTTATCAGTAAGCAACCTCACTTTTGGGTTCCAGAACTTTCCAGATGATATTAGGCAATAGAAAACTGCATCACTATTTAGTCATTTGAGAAAGTCCATGCCAAGTGCTCAAAAGTGAGTGTCTGGTGTCCAAGTCAGGTGTCTGAAGCTAGAAAAAGGCCAGGCAAAAGTTCCATCAATGAGCCGTGAAAAGCCCCCGGCCAGCTGGGTGGTTTTTAGTTTATGATACCAACGAGGAGCCTGGCTAGATATGAAGAGGTGTCAACACCTTTCTTCACCACTAGGCACAGCAGAGATCCCAAAAGGAAGTGGCGAGGAAAGGTGTTGACACCTCTTCATATCTAATCAGTCTCCTCATAGCAGAGATCCTTTTGAATCCCCATGTCCCTCTGCTTAAAAAAAATGTTTCTGAAGCCTTCAAATTTCATGTCCTGGTGAAACATGAGGCCTCTGCAGTTACCACTTCTCCTAAGAAAGTTATAGCATTCAAAGGAGCTGAGGCTGAGGACGGCTCATTAAAAAGGCTGTGGCCTCTTTTGGAAAGGCTTTTGGTGTTTTTTTGGTTTTTTTTTTTTTTTTGAGACACAGTTTCCCTCTCTTTTGCGCAGGCTGGAGTGCAATGGTGTCATCTTGGCTCCCTGCAACCTCTGCCTCCCTGGTTTGAGCAGTTCTTTTGCATCAGCCTCCCGAGTAGCTGGGATTTCAGGTGCCCACCACCACGCCCGGTTATTTTTTGTGTTTTTAGTACAGACAGGGTTTCACCATGCTGACTAGACTGGTCTCAAACTCCTGGCCTCAGGTGATCCACCTGCCTCGGCCTCCCAAAGTGCTAGGATTACAGGCATGAGCCCCTGTGCCCGGTCGGCTTTTGCTTTATCTCCTCTGAGCAGACCTGGGGCTCCTGGATTAAATCCGACTTAGAGTAAGAAGAAATCAAGTTGGCATTAACATAAACAAAACCTGAATAAAGGCTGAATAAGAAAAACACATTTAATTTGTTGCTCCCCAACACTCACTGCATGTTTTTTCTAGTTGTGGAACTAGATAGTCACTTTCCCCTGAAAAACTCTATTTAACCTTATGTAATCCCAGTACTTTTGGAGGTCAAGGCGGGCAGATCACCTGAGGTCAGGAGTTTGAGACCAGCCTGACCAATATGATGAGAACCTGTCTCTACTTAAAATACAAAAATTAGCCAGGCATGTTGGCATGTGCCTGTAATCCCGGCTACTCGGGAGGCTGAGACAGGAGAATTGCTTGAACCCGGTAGGTGGAGGTTGCGGTGAGCTGAGATCATGCCATTGTGCTCCAGCCTGCGAAACAAGAGAGAAACTCCGTCTCAAAAAAGAAAAAAACAAAGAAGTGCAGAATAGTTCCGGTGGCCATGTTTCCTTTGAACAATTTCTCTTGAAGGCTAGGAGGATGCAGTTGGGTGTCTGCCATCTAAGATTTAAAACAAAGGTGGCATATGGGCAGCCTATAGTCTGAATCTGACAGTTCCCCTCCCCTCAAAAATTTATAATGTTGAAAGAATTGGTTAGTCGTCACCATGATTCAAAAGTCAGATGAGTTCCTATAAAATCTAGATTGATGGCTTAGGAGGAACTGGAGGATTGCAACAGCAGGCCCTCATCCTTACATGGGTACAACCTGATAAAGATGATAGTGGTTATCTCTCCCGGTTACCTGCCTGTTTCATCACTCAGCTATCTGCCTAGCCATTGTATTCACAGAGCTCCACCTAGTCCCTAGTGACATTTGGGGCCAGATAATTCTTTGTGGTGGAGGCTGTCCGGTGCATTACAGGATGTTTAACAGCAGCCCTGGCTTCCACCCTCTAGATGCCAGTAACATCCTCCCACTCCTCAGCCTCTTACACCCCAATCCCACTCCGATTGTGACAACCAAAACTGTCTCCAGACACTGACTAGTGTCTCCTGCCTGAGGCGGTGGGAGTGGCTTCTGGTTGATAGCCACTGTGTTAGAGCCTGCAAACTCATAAAACAGTATTGCATATTCTTACACATTAATATTGCTGCCTTCTTAGGCTCAAAGTGTGTCGGGATACTTGTCTTGAAATTTCTGACCAGACTGGAATGTTCTTTCCTTCTAAATGAGCTTTCTTATAATCATTTTCCAAGATTATTGGGCCATTAACTGGCACTTGAAGGAATTTAACAAGTCACCAGTGTCCTCATTTTATAGGTTAAGAAAACTGAGTCCCAAGGAGGTAAATTGCCCTCGGTCACATAACTGGCTAGTGACAGAGCTTGAACTGGAAGCTAGATTTGAATTCCTAGCTCTTTACTCTTTCCACATCATAAAAGGTTTGAGCTATAAAGAAAAATGTAAGCATGACATACAGATGCCCTGGTGTGTATATTTAACTATATTTATCATGGCTGCCCTTCTAGGTGACTTCAGGTCCATTGTTATTATTTCTGTATACTGCCATACTATGGTACCTCCCTTCTACAAATAAACTGCTTTGTTAAAAAACAAAACAAAACAAACCCAACAGCAAGTGCTTTATTCACTGATTACCTGTCTGGATGACTTAGGTTAAAAACATGGGATTTAAATGATTAATCACAAACTACAATACTTTCAAACCATCTGCTGCCAAAATAGTTTTTCCACTCTTTGAGGCCTGAAAGAATGGGCACCCTTTGGTGTACCCATAGAAGGACCCAAAGAAGGAAGTCTATTTTATCTGGGGTGCCTTCTTTAATTTGGTGGTCTACTCTTGGAATTTACATCACTGCTCGACTTGGGAAACAAGGATACGAGTGTGATTCCTCAGCTACATTTTGGGAGGCTGCAGGTTGGCCCTGAGGGTGCTACAGAGGCTGGGAAGCTGTGTAATGAATCCAGGAGAAGAGATAGCTTTGCCAGAAGTGCTGAAAGTGCTATGGTCATTTGCAGGACACCAACAATGAGCTTTACCTCCCACCTCACAGCCTGCCCTTCATACCTTCTGCAACTGGGGTGGGGTGGGGCGCACAGCCCTTATCTATTTACACCTGCTTGACAAGGTTTCCCCTTTGAAAACTGACCTTACTGTTCATCCTTACTCAGCTTTTCTGATGCCTGGGTGCTTTTGGGGAAGAGATAACATGCCATCTAAGACCCTTGGGAAGGGCCCAGCAATTAGATGTTTCAGGCCCTCCCATCCACCTAATGTACAGCAGCTTCTGGCCCAGAGAAGAACAAGGGGGCGGGGGTGATGTTTTTGATCTGGAGCAGGCAGAAACTTTGAAAAAGACCCCATCGTTTGCCTTTTTGTTTCTCTCAGTGGCATGTTTTCCTGCCTCAGCTTCTGATATCTTTACACTCAAGTTCTAAATAACCCCACATTGCCTCAACATATCAGAAAATTACTGGATTTCGTAAAATGCTTTCCCCCAACTCCACTACTACACTGATGATGGTAGAAACCAGAGGTAGCTGCTCTCTTACCCTTAGTTGTATTCTCCCAGTATGGTGGGCTTATAAGGAGGAGAAAGGGACTCTTTCCTTACTTCTGCCATTATTCTTCCCATACATTGCTTTTGTTCTGTTTTGGGTAAGTGTTCGGTGGGATGAGGGCTTTTGTCCCCTCCCTGCTTAACCTGCCTAGCTTGCTTTTTGGTCTGAGGAAAATTGACTTTTGCAACTTTCTGCTCTGACCCTTCAGTGCCATTTGTGTAAACTTCAGCCTAGAATCCAGTCGATGTTCAGATGTTGAAGCATTTTGGAGAAGTAGGAGGTAAATTGAGGTCCCAGCAAGCACCTATCTGTTCTGTCATGTGCCTCTGTGTATATAAGATATTTTGGTGCCTTCTTCAAAAATGTTTTTACCTAACCACCAGAGTGTCTGATTAGTAAGGGCACTTCCTAGTGTAACAATCTACAGGGATTTTTAAGCTTTGGTTTCCAGAGAACATTGTCACTGAGGGGATTGTACTTTGAAGTGAATGCTTTATGTTGTTTCTTATGACAAGGGGTATTTTGTCAATAGTTGTAGCTACACCTCCTATAACTGTAAATTATCTGGTTACAAGTATCAGGAGCTGCAAAGAAAAGTAAACCATAGTCCCTCACTTTATTTTTCATTTTTATGTCCAGATTCATGACTTAAGGAAATGGGGCAGGCACAGTGGCTCACACCTGTAATCCGAGCACTTTGGGAACCTGAGGTGGGTAGATCACAAGGTCAGGATTCTGAGACCAGCCTAGTCCACATGGTGAAACCCCATCTCTACTAAAAAAAATCAGAAATTAGCCGGGCATGGTTGCAGGCACCTGTAATTCCAGCTACTTGGGAGGCTGAGGCAGGAGAATCACTTGAAATCAGAAGGTAGAGGTTGCAGTGAGCTGAGATTGCACCACTACACTCCAGCCTAGGAGAAAGAGCAAAATTCCATCAAAAAAAAAAAAAAAAAAAGAAAGGAAGGAAGGAGAAAATGGGACAATTCCTTCTGGGTTTTTTGTTGTTGTTGTTGTTTTTTGTTTTTTGTTTTTTTCCTTAAACTCAGGGGCTTGGTGCTTGTTGATATCTAATCAACACCAACAGCCGATAATGACCACTTACTGTTCTGGCCCACATATTCATTTTTAGTTTTTAAGGGATGTCATATTAAGGAACTGTGTTTATAATTCAAATTTCAGAGCCATAGGGAGCCACGGAGGCTATACAGTTCAATCATCTCATTTTATAAATGAAGAAATGGGGGCCCTGAAGAGAAGTCCTTTCTTCTGGGTTTACACAGCTTGTCTCCAGCAGAGGTGGAGGTAGAACCAGGCTCTTCCCCTCTAGACCACATGCTCTTTTTCATGAACAGTGCTGTTCTCCTTTACCTTTCCCTACCTATTTCTGACCTTCTTTCGTTGGCCTCTCTAAAATGTTATAGCACATGAAATTCCCAAAATCCTGTTAATTAAAGCTTTATTTTTTAGCAGATGGCCTTCAGATACTAACTCTGACTGCTTTAAAAAATAGCCCATATCTTATTGATAGAAATTCTCCAAGCTGATCTTTATTAAATTCACCGTTCCCTAGGACCCTTATCCTTTCCATCTGGTTATTAATTATCAGGCAATATCCTCTTAGGCTGTCTCTATTTCTTAATTACCTTATTAATTGTAATCACATAAATTGATCTGTCTGACATTCTAAGTCTGACTCACTGAGGAAATACGTCTAATATTCGCGAGAGACTCCAACAATCTTACTATCTTAACTTATTATTTCCATTATGTAGAATGATATCACTAGAAGCCAGATGTGACTGCTGAGCTGAACTGGCCTTTATCCTAATCATAATTAGAATGTCCTTTAACAATTCTCTCTTAGCCTTTCTTGCTTACTTAGACACACACGAGACATATCAGTTCATTTCCTCCCTACTTTCACTCTTTAGTCTTTAAAATAGAAGGAATTTTTCCCCTCATATCATCTTGTGGTAATCCTTTATTTGCAACTCCGGGTAATTTGAGGAGAAAACATTAATATGAATGTATTTTAGTTTTTCAAGATTTTTATTGTAACACTGCACCTGAAGGACCTGATGCCCAATTAAACATTTAAAAAATTGTCAAGTTTTTATATACAAAAAAGTCTCTTAATATCTGTTATTTGAGAACTCTTTTTTTTTTTTTCTTCATGACAAGGTACACTACTGTAACCCTTACATTTTCCCCCAGGTTCCACTCAATTTTTATGAAGGCACAAGAGTAAACAGCTTCTTATATATAAGCTGGTCATTGTTCCATATGATCCTTTCTATATTTGTATAAGAAATGGTTGATTGGGGCCAGGCACGGTGACTCACACCTGTAATCCCAAAACTTTGGGTTGGCAAGGTGGGTAAATCACTTGAGCTCAGGAGTTTAAGACCAGCCTTGCCAACATGGTGAAACCTCATCTCCCCTAAAAATAGAAAAATTAGCTGGGTGTGATGGTGAGCACCTGTAATCCCAGTTACTTGGGAGGCTGAGGTGGGAGAATCACTTGAGCCCAGGAAGTGGAGGTTGCAGTTACCTGAGATCACACCACTGCACTCCAGCCTGGGTGACAGAGTGAGACCCCATCTCAAAAAAAAAATAAAATAATAAAATGGTTGATTGGTAGGAAATCAAAGCTGAAGACTAGAATCTCTATGAAACAAAGGGTTAGAGAATTCCTATGCATGCTTATTTGCATGCATATAAATGAATTTGGGATATAAAATCAGCTCCAATTCATTCTTTCCTTCTTTCCTTCCTTCCTTCCTTCTTTCTTTTCTTCCTTCCTTTCTTCTTTCCTTCTTTCCCCCTCTCCCTGTCTCTCTCTCTCTCTCTTTCTTTCTTTCTCTCTCTCTCTTTCTTTCTGTTTTCTTCATTCTGTTTTTTTGTTTTTCTTTTTCCTGGGGTCTGGCTTTGTTGTCTATTGCCTAGGCTGGAGTACCAGTGGCATGGTCTCAGCTCACTGAAATCTCCACCTCCCAGGCTCAAGTCATCCTCCCACTTCAGCCTCCCAAGTAGCTAGGACTATAGACTCACATTACCATGCCCAGCTAATTTTTATATTTTTTGAGGAGACATGGTTTCACCATGTTGCCCAGGCTGTTCTCAGACTCCTGGGCTCAAGCAATCTGCCTGTCTCAGCTCCACAAAGTGCTAGGGTTACAAGTGTGAGCCGCTGCACGCAGCCTCCAATCTCTTAGAAAGAAGCAAATCTGTTTTAGTTCTTTGTAAATTCTGGATATCAGCCTCTTGTCAGATGGGTAGACTGCAAAATTTTTTTCCCATTCTGTTGGTTGCCGAGCATGTTCTCACTCATAGGTGGGTGTTGAACAATGAGAACACATGGACACAGGGAGAGGAGCATCAGACACTGGGGTCTGTCAGGGGGAAACAGGGGAGGGACAGCAGGGGGTGGGGAGTTGGGGAGAGATAGCATGGGGAGAAATGCCAGATATAGGTGGTGGGGAGGAAGGCAGCAAATCACACTGCCATGTGTGTACGTATGTAACAATCTTGCATGTTCTTCACATGTGCCCCAAAACCTAAAATGCAATAAATAAATAAATAAGAAAGAAGCAATATAAATTAACAATGTCCACGTCTTTCCACAAGCACACATATGTTCATTGCGGTACTGTTCACAATAGCAAAGACCTGGAACCAACCCAAATGCCCATCAATGATAGACTGGACAAAGAAAATGTGGCATGTATACACCATGGAACACTATGCAGCTATAAAAAGATGAATTCATGTCCTTTGCAGGGACATGGATGAATCTGGAAACCATCATTCTCAGCAAACTGACACAAGAACAGAAAACCAAATACTGCATGTTCTCACTCATAGGCAAATTGACTCACTGGAAGGCTTCCATGGGGATGGATAAAGAGAGATCTCCAAGTCAGAAGGACTGCCTCATTTTCCAGTAGGGCTGAACTCCACCATGCAGACCATAAACCTCTGCTGCTTCTTGTCCTTAGTGTCCCAAAAAATTTGTAAAAGAGAAAAACAAACAAACAACAACAACAACAAAACAATGCCCACGTCTTTCATTATGAGGAAAATGGATGCCAGGAATGGGTAGATTTCTGTTTTGGCTGGGCATACAAGGGCCTAATTTGACAATCCACATGATATATTGAGTCTCTCCATGTATGTAAGGGTCTGCAGAACATTCACCAGGGGTGTTCTACAGATACCAGTATCTCAAACTATTCCCGACTGAATACCTTATCTTTTCACCCAACTTGCTCATTCAGTCATCCAACCAAACCAAGAATTTGGATATCATCCACATGACTCTTCCCCACCCCCTATTACCTGCCAAGCTGTCTGATCTACTTAGTCATTAAGTGAACTTATGTTGATTTGTTTCCCTTATTACCTTTCCTCTTTTACCCATTTCTTCTGGTGCTGCTGCTTCGCTCAGTTCCTAGTTCACTCTTTCCCAAACTATTGTGGTAATCTACCTTCTGATTTCAATGGCATCTCATCTCAGGTTGAATGACCTACAAGGTCCTCCATGAGTCTAATGTCTCTGCTACCCTTTTTCTCATCCTAAATGTCAGCGATGTTGAACTATTCGCAGGTCTCCACTTCATGTGATTTTATATCCCATGCCTTTGAATATTCTTCTTTTCTTGGAGTGTCACTCCCACGTAATTTTATCTGTCAAACTCGTATTCCTATTTTAAGACCCAGCTCGAGCATCATTTTCTAGAAAGCCTTGCTGGAAGCCCAAATTGTTGATCATTCTCTTCACTGGGTCCCCTCTTTAATTTGTACATACCGCATTATTATACTTGTTAACTGTATTGCCATTGTTTGCTTGCAGTCCTGTATTTCCTTTACAAATGTAAATGGCCAAAGGCAGGAACTATGGCTTTTCATTTTTTTGTCTTCAGCATCTACCACGTTATCTGGCACACAGCAGATTCTCAGTGAGCATTAATTGAATGAATAGAGTTCAAGATCACTCGAGATTTCACCAAGTTCTATTCTTCCATGATTTATGATGTTATACTTATTTTGATTTATGATGTTATACTTATTTTAGGTTTCAACACGGATTCAAATGTCAGGGGCCAATATGTTACTTAACCATTGTTCTTATCGGCCTGCTCAGAAGTGGCAGCTGCTCTTTCTCTGGAACGGCTGAAGCAGGGATGGAGGAGAAGGAATTACCTTGTGCAGCTGTGAAAATGGTAAAATGCACCATCTATACTGACAGAGTATCATGGGCAAGGGGATGGTTTTGGAGTGAAACTGATCTCAACTTAATTTCAGTTCTATTTCTTATTCCATGTATCACTTTGTACAAGGTTATCTTACTTTTCTGAGTTTCAAATTTGTCATCTGTAAAGTGAGAATAATAATAGCACCTGAATCCCAAATTTGTTGTAAGAATTAGATCCAGTAGTGTGTGTAAAGGACTTACTATAGTTTTTGGCATATAGTAACTTCTCAATAAATGATAGTTGTTATCATTATCATTACTTTTATTGCATTAGCCACACATTAGAAAAAAGTGTGATACTGCCTTCTGGTCCCCAAGGGATTCCTCCTTTAAAGATAAAGTATACTACTGGGATCCTTATTCAATCTACAAAACACAGAAAATTATTTGAGGAACAATTTTCTGACATCTCTCAAGAAAGGTAGCTAACCAGTACCTCCCACTGTACAGGAGAGAAGTTAATTCATGATTTACAAAGACTGTTTTAGGGCATTAATTCTCTCTGCTTGAGAAGGGCAGAGTTACCCACAACACTCAGTGGAATAATGGGCTGAAAATGTAATTTTAGAATTAGCAATAAAGTTTTCAAGACACTTAGAGACATCTCGGATCAGCACAAAATAAAAGAGAAGGTTTTCTTTACCTATATCTTTTAACTATGTTGTGCTTCTAAGATAGAAAAGATAATTTCTTGGCCAAAGGACCAGTTGGATCCGAGATCAGAATAATGATTCAACAACTTACTCTAGAGGTAACTTAGGGCAGTCCTTTATCACGGCAACTTCTATATATTTATAATGAGGGTAGGAGTCATCCTGGTGATCTCACTCAGTCTTGGGCATTTTAAATGACATTATATATTTGGAAATGCCTTACAATTTGAAAAGTGCTATAAAAATCTTAGTGATTATGAAGATGATTATTCTGCTTTCCTGCCATCCTGCTTCCTCCACCAGATGCCCCTAATGAGCCCAGATTCCGAAATGAGGACACGGGTAGCTTTGGTTGAAATCATCAACTTTGTTTATTCTTTTGCTGCCTTTCACTCTTGTGCTTCTGGGCTTTCCTTGGCATTTCCACTAACCATTCAAGATCCCAGGTACTACTTCTAGCTGCTCTTCTGGAAAATTTTAAAAACTCCTAGCATCTGTCAGCTCCATCAAGCCACTTACCGAGTTCCCAAATCACAGGGAATTGCCCAGAAGGCCTGGATGAGTCTTTTAATGCAATGGATGAAGTTGTCTTCTGATTTGTTTTTGCATGTCAGAAGCATTAAGAATGAATTTAGCCTGCTTTTTTCTCTTTCATTCTTTCTTTCCTCCTCTCTCTCTCTCTCTTTCTCTGTCTCTCTCTCTAACATGGCTACAGAATTGAATATCCATTTGCTACTAGGTTTCCTTTCTGGGCATTTGTGCACCCTTACTTTTCAGAGGAGCAGAAATCAAGGCAGATTCAGTGCCAGTTACCTTAATGGAGAAAAAGATTGACAAACCATCAGTCTTTCTCACTAGCTCACTGCAAGAAGAGATGTGACATAACCTCCAGTAGCATTTCAGACCATCTGACTTAAGACTTAAGTTAGTTAGGTTTTATCTCCTCCAAGAAAAAAATTTGACCCTTCATTTCCAGCCAAGCTGTTGTATACTCACTAACTGTCTAACAGGCCATTTTTTGCTTCTTGTTACCAGCTCTTTACTGGATGTAACTTACCTTCTCTTTCTCATTGCGGAAAAGTGAAGCAAAACAGGAAGTCATCAGGTAAAGCTCTGCCTCCTCAATGCTTTCCAGACTCCTCCAGTTTCCATCTGAGATTCCCTTTCTCTTTAGCCCTATAGCATTTATTGTTCATACAGCATATTTAGAAATTATGAAGAATATCCTATCTGTGTTTTATTTAGTAACTTTTAAAATAAATTATGAATTCTTTTTCTCCAACCCATATGGCAAGAATCGTATCTTAAATTTTCTTTCTTGATATGAAATTTTAGCTGGCCTTATTATTACAAGTTTATTATCATTACTCTCTATCGTCTGCTATTAGTAGTAGTAATGCTTGTGGATTCATTGATAACTGAGGGTCCAGTGGAGACCCTGGATCCTCTCTGAAGCCCCTTGGGTATGTGCAAGTGTGCAATTAGCCTCATTATTACACCAGGAAGAGAAATGTTAAGAAAACAGTATGATAACATGTGTGCTTTTAAATTGGTGAAAGTTGTGAATTTCAAAATGTCAGCATGTTACTCCTCTTAATATTTTGATGCAACCACAAAGTTTTCTCTTATTAGGAATTTCAACTCATTAGAAGAAACTGAAACAGGCCCTTTCTGGCTCCCCCAGGAAAAAGCTGAACAAACAGATGGTCCTTACTAATAATGTCAACCAACAGGATCCCCGGTCCTGCCCACAGAGGCTGTAAATTTTACAGGCAGCCCTGCTAGAACACAGGCTCCATGGCCCAGTTTCTCTGGGGAGCTGCAGCTAGAAATAACAAAGCCAGAGTCATTCTTTACTGCATTATTGCTTTCTTTAGAAGGCACCATGTCCAGTAACACTAAAGATAAGTCAGGCTACTCTTTATGCTCCTTACATTTTCTGCTCCTAACAAAGCTGTGATGGTTACTGTCAAGATTTAACAATTTCAGAAATGGTGCTGATGACCCAGATGCCTTCTTTGTTAGCACATAATTCCTGTGGCATTAGCTATTGCCCATTTACCGAAGGATTTCTTCCTCGCTCTCAGGTTAATCTCAAGAAACCCTGCAAATATTCCTATATTCAGCAGTCTGTGCTTTGTGCAAATTAGGCTCTGAACAGAGATTTGCTAAATTGAATTCTGTAAGAAGCATAACTCTATTTTCTGGGTTGGCTTAAAAGATGTCTTTGAATTTGAACATTTCTGTCTTTTTAAGACATTATTTTAATCATTAAGAATGGGCCAACTTGATTTCACAGTGAATTACCCATCTCTTGTCTTTTTCTCCAGAGTTTTAGTCATTTATGCCAAAGAACAATGAGTCATGTCATTACCCAAATGGTGAGGATGTCCTGCTTTGGAGATATTGGATAGTTGAACCATATGAAATTGCTGATATTTGACCGTTTGTTTTTATTTACAAGGACAGCAGTTTTATATGGTTCCCCTTAAGACCATTTTCTCCCTTGTTTGGTAAGAGTTAGCTGGGCTCCAACATATGGATGCAAGAGAGGTAATTCCCCTTGGCTTCCCCGACCATCTCTGTGTCAACAAGGAAGGGAGGAGGCTCAGAGCCTGCTTGTCTCTCACTTAGCTTAGTAAGAGCAGACGGAACATGCTGATGTGTCAAGGGGTTCATTTTATGGACAAATATATTGGTTTGGATTTTTTGTAATGGTCACAACTTTTCAATAGCTCATCATTTTATTATTACTTCTCTTACCCTTTTTTTTTCCTTCATTCCTGCGCAGTTTATCAACCTCTGTACATTTAGAAGGCAACCAAAATCATGCTTTTAAGAAGTTTCTAACAATCAGCATATGACTTTAGTCACTCTAAAGCTTCCCTTTGATAGTGTCAGGAGGAGTTTTCCTTTTAGTCAAAGCTAATGAAAATAAGAAGTGGTGGGAGCTGGGCAAATGTAATTTGTGAACATCCAAGAATTCTTTCATGATTTCATAACAGCAAAGGCGTTATGTCTTGTGTTCTGAACACAGGGTTCTGTTCTTCTGAGAAGGTAGCCCATTACGTATGGGTCTGTGGGCCCCGGAGTGACTCTGGGAGAAGGTGAGGAGTCATGGGTGCTCAGCATCGAGAGAGGAATAAGGAAAGCATAATTTTTGTGCCTGTCTCTGTTACTGGGATCCATGCCACAGCATATCTGCTGGGATTCTCTGCCTGTGACAATAATAAAATACTAGATCAGGAAGTGACCTTAAAAATAATCTAGGACAACAGTTGATGACACTTGCATTTCAGATAAAAATGATGGATTCCATCCCCAGAAAAGATTCTTATGTTCAATTTTAGAAGGTAATTGTAGCTGAGGTGTGGACCACAGGTTAAGAAACCTTGACTTAAGAGTCCTGTCACCTTATTTTACACATGGGAAAATTGAGAACCAGGGAGATGGAGCGACTAGCCCAGATTATAAAACTTCCATTGTAAATTGGGAAGAAACTAAAACCCAGCTTAATGATTCCATGTATAGTTCTCCTTTATCTTTTCTTAAATATCAGATTACCTGCATTTCTCTCGTCCCCTTTGTTACATGCAGAACTCCATGAAACCAAACTGAAGGAGGAGGTAGAAGGTGACAGAAGGGAAGTATGTGACATTCCCCACTTCTAAGTTATGCAACCAGGAAACGCAGGCAGAGCCTGTACCAACAGCAGCAATGAACTCAGTCGACTTGCTGAAAAACATTTCAGTTATTATAAACAAAAATACTACATCATTCATGTTTTCAGTTGTTTTAGGCAAAACAAATCATTCCTGTTTTTCAGTTCAATCAATCAGCTCATGCTATATTGCAGCTTATTCTCCTTGTTTTTATATGCTTACCAGCATATAAAAACATGCTTTTTATATATGCTTTTGTTTATTTTCTGCAAAAAACTAGCTGAATCAAAGGTAAGCATTTAAGGAAATTATTTTGTGGACAACATTACATATTTACTGAATCTCATCTTTGTCCTGGCACTATCCCTGCCTGGTGGGTTTATAGACAGAAATGTCACAGATTTGGAAGGCTTTTCAATGCAGAGATTACAATGGATTAAATCCTTGTCTAACTGGTTTTGCTTTTTCAGCCTTAGATGATAGTGAGACGGAGAGGAAAGATGGGAACATAATTCATGGGCTAAAGCTTGTTTCTTATCACACAGTCAACATGTCATTGGCAGAAGGTGGAACAGTCACGCCTGACCCTTTGCTGCTTCTTCTATAGGAGAACTTTGTGAGAAGCCAGAAATCCCTCACGGCTCACCTTGTCACCGGCTCTGTAAGTGATCTGGGATAAAGGAGGCCTCAGAGTCCCCCAGTTGTAAAATAGGAAAATAAAGTATGCCCATCTGGAACATTTACACAGAGATCAATAAAAGTCTTCTTCTCTCAAAACAAACAAAACAAAACAAACTTCAAGGGTAGCCACGGAGGGTAGGAGAAGTCACACCATTTATTATGAGACCATGTTTCAGCCTCGCATTTTTCCTTCAGGCTCACGGTGAGATACAGCTCATTCTGCAGCCAATGTTGTCTCTTGTTTGCGAGTGCCTCAAGCAGCATTTCCCTGACTTATGGCTGTTGTATATCACCTTCATTAACTTTGCTGGAATCGTTTTCTTTCTTTAAATTTATTCAACCTTTAAAAAAAATTTTTAAGTAAATTTTTAAATGATAAAAAAAATTAGTATTGCTCATCCTAGGTGGTGGGTAATGATAAAAATAAATATATTAAAATAAAAATGATTGTGTACATCTAATATCATGTTGCATGCAGAGTATTGTGCCTTCCTTTGAGATACCTGGTCTTACAGGTCCCAGAAACTGAGATGTGAGTCCAAACTTAAGGACAGAGTGATGACATGGAAATCTATGAATGTGACGTGATGGGGTGGTTTTATCTCTAGGTGCAAATCAGGGAGAGGATAATGAAGAAAACTGTTGGGCTCACACTTCAAAAACTGATGACACTGTGTAGGCTCCTTAGCAGCTTCACAAGGACCTGCTGAGCTGCCCCACACCCCACACACCCCCACTGGGGCTTGAATTTGCTGTGAAGGTATCCGCACAGCCTTTTCTAGTTCTGCCCAGCCCTTTTTTTCCTTTTCCACATAACTTGGTCTCCTGGCTTGGGTTCCATCTGTACCTTTGTCTCCAGCCAGGTGGTTTCCTTTTGGCCGCTGTCACTCAGCATGCTGATTGCTGCCTTGGCCCTTGTTGCTTGGCCTTTCTCTCTTGAAGGACCTGGGGCTTGAGCTGCTAATTTGATAAGGCAAGCCCTTGTCTTTTTATAGCATCTCTCCTTGCCATTCCCTGATTCCATTAATATCCCATCAGTGAAGTGCAGTTGTTGCTCTTCCCCTCCCACTTCTCGGTGTGAAGCGATGACGCAGTTAACAGGTGCAGGGGCTCAGGGCTCCTCTGGCTCTGCGTGCACTTCCAGGACTCAGTGTGTGCCCGAGTTAGAGAAACCTGTACAGTGTGTTCCTGGAGGGACTTTAATACAGGGAGGCTTTTGCTATTTTCTGCACAGACAGATGAGGAGCTCTATGTTTGGAAAAGAGGCTTGGAAAAAGAAAAACCAGAATGAACAGCCTTTTCCTGTTGACTTAGACGCCCTAGGTGGCCGGGCAAGTCCCTGACCTGCTGGGAGGCCTCAGTTTCCTCTTGTGTGAGTGAAGTGGATGGAAAGGAATGGGAGCCCGTGAGCCTTCTCACTTTTTTTTTTTTTTTTTTATGCTGGCTCTTCCCAGCTGAAACCAGCATCCTCCTGGTTCTGATCTGGACAGCCTCCTGGAGTCAGTTGGGGCCAGCAACCAGGTCCAAAGCTGAGCCTCCTCTTTTCTGTTGCTGGAGGTCAGCTGTGGGTAGGGATCTGGACTGCTCAAGCTTCTGTGGTGAGACCTGTGTGGAGCAACAGGGTGGGCAAGGGTGTACTCAGCACAGTGATCCCCCATGGGGGCTGCTGGAAAGGGTGTCTGTTCCAACCGAAGGCATGATAAGAAAGAACAGGCTGAAGCTCTGCTAAGCTGTGTGGCCCTGGATGCAACCCTTGGCCTCTCTAAGCTTCATTTATTCTCATTTTAAAAATACATGCAAAGGGGTACAGTGAAGCTTCAACTGGAGTGAGCAGCAGGTCCCTTCCAACATCAACGTTCTTTGATTTCATGATTCTGAGACTCTATATTTAAAAAACGATTTTATGGACCTCAGACCTCACTTCAATACCCATTCCATACACTCCACACTGTTAGCAAATTTGTACCTACTTTGTTCAGAAAATTGAGTTGTACTGGGGCTGGAGATTCTTTGTAATACTCAGGTGCAGGAAATGTCATATAGCACAGCTTTGTTGTTGTTGTTGTTCATTGTTAATTCAAGTTTTAAATTCTCCTTCCAGAGTGTGGCCAGGGTCAGTAGCAGTCATTATTGGTGGTCCTGCTCTCCAGGGGCAGTCAGGCATCCTTGGAGGATTGCTCAGTGCAGAAGATTCTAGGAGAGACCCCTTTTCTCCAGCCTATCACAGTCACTGCTTAGTTGTTTATTGTCTGGGCCAGAAAGGTCCATTTAATGGCTGGAGGTTGTATTCCTAAGCCTGCCCACCCACCTCCATCCTTAGTGCAACTTGGGTGCGGTGGCCTGAATCCCATGACTGGGAAACTCAAGACATTTCATATCCATAAGCCACCCCATCAGAGGTCCTGCTGTCTTCAGGGAACTGTATTGGAAGGGCCTGGCTTTCAGCCTTGTGCACAACTTGCTACCACTGGCCCCTTTCTCTTTTCCAGATAAGTCGCCACCATGGTCCTGTCACTCACTTCCTTCAACTACAATGCCACTTCCTCAGGTATGAATATAGCCACACAGTAGGCATAGTACTGACTATTTGTAGACTCCCAATTGAATAACCACTTCAATCAAAACCTGGGTTGGAGCTGCTACCTCAGTGTCCCAGAAACTCATTTTTCACCCAGAAGTGCAAAAGTGATCCTCACCCTTGGAGGCAAGATCAGGAGCTCACAATACAAAGGCCTTGTTCACTCACTGGAGACTCTGCTACAGTATAAATGCAATATCAAAAATGATATCTCGATCCATTATCCTGCTAAAGAGGCAAATAAGCACGAGCTCTTTCCATTTCTTGCCTCCCCCATCCCTACAAACAGAGCTCCACTCACACCCTGGATTATCTTTCTGCAGTTTCAGAAGATGCAGTGTCTCCTTTTGTTCCAGGCTGACTCCAGCTACACATGCCAAGAGCAGGCTCCACAGCCATCCTCCCTCTTGAAACATCCACCTTTCCTCTTGCAGGGGTGCGTTCTCTTCAGACTACAAACTTACTCATCTCCTTCCCATTCATTAAAAAAGAAATCTACCTTTGATCCGCATGTCCTCTTAGTAATGTCCTATCTCTTCTTCTATTTCATCCAAACATCTTTAAAGAGTTACCTATATTCAATGTGCACATGACCACTTCATGGGCCATTCACCCTGTACCCCCTGCAATCTGGCTTCTGCTTTTGATAAAGCCACCTATATTCTAGCTGGAAAATCCAGTGGACAGTTTCCAATCTTTTTCTCACTGTATGTTTCTGAGGCATTTGACCATGTTGCTTGTGTGCACCACTCACCGTCCATGATAGTCATGTTATACTCTCAGTTGGCCTCATTTGTTTCTGTTCTTTCTCAACCGTGGGCCCCTCTCCCTCCACCTACCACCTACACGCCGGGGTTACCCACCTGTCTGTTTTAGCCTACTGCTCTTCTCATTACTGATACTCTTCTTGGACGGATTTTTCTATACTCAGGATTTCAGCTACCACCTGTATGGTAATGACTCTCTAATTTAATCTCCGTCACCAATTTCTCCCCCAATCTTTAGGCTCACCAATTCCACCACCTGCTAGGCAGCTTTGCTTGGGCATTCTTCAGACATTTCAGATTCAATTGCTCAAAAGCTACACATATTGCTTCCCTCTAACCTAAACCTCTATTTTTCGTGTTACCTTCTCTTTGCCCAGTGACAAAAGTTATCAAATGTCTACCTTGACTTTTCTCTTCTCCTCCCTCCTTTTATCCAACTGATCATTACATCCTGATGGATTCCCCTCCTATGCATTTCTCAAACCCACCCCCTCAACTCCACTCCACCACCGCTACCCTATCTCAAATGCACCTCCTCTTACCTGGACCAGTATGGCAGTCTCCCAACTGGCTTCCCGGTTTCTAGACTTGGCCTGCTCCATTCTCTCTCCAGAGCTACCTGAATGATTCATATATAAAACACTAATCTGACCCAGTCCCTCTCTTGCTAAAGCCATGCTGAATGTACACGAGGAAATTCAACCTCCTCTGCTGTGCCTGTCTCTTGTCTGTCTCTTAAACCTCAGCTCCTAACACCTGTTACCTCCTAGTTTGACTCCAACTCTCAACAGACAGTAGTTCTCCGCAAACCTCTGTTCTCTCACTGTTCTCTTTGCTTCCTCTTTTACTAGCAAATACGTTTTACTTCAGCATGTTAGGTTAGTATTATAAGGGAAGTTTCAAGTTCATTTTATATTAAATATTAGCGCCTTCATGCTTAGCGAGGGAGGGAAACGGAGAAAAAGCCCATAGCTAAATACACATTTAAGTGGCGTTCTTTTCCAGCACAGCCAAAGATTGTACTGGGCCTGAGAGAATTGTGTGCCCTGTTTGATTCAAAGCTGTTAGAAAGCATGCCAAACATTTTAGGTTTTTACTCCCAGAGTTGTTGTAAACCCGGCCGAACCTGTCTGTTATGAAGAGTGCACTGCCCTCTAGAGGTTCCCATTGGGAGGAGCACATCAAATCCACAGTGTTAAGGCATTCTGCAGTTTCTTGTGAAGTGTTACTGCAGACCTTTACTATTACTGTTCTTTGTCACAAACATGCTTTTCGAGATATCTAATTCTGAGTCACACATTTTTAATTTACTTTGGGAATAGCATTTTGGGGTAAAGCACGTGATGGACCTCAAAACACTCAATTTGGAGTCAGGAGACATGACTTTTAGTTCCAGTTCTTCCTTTAATATCTGAGAACTTAAATTTCACGTCTGTTAATCATGTAGTAAAAGATCACACTTCAAAACTGTGAATCACTAGAAAGCATATTTTGGGAGTAAAACTGCGAAGAGTTTCATAAATTCAGTAAATATTTAATATGCAAGATCCTAGGATAAGAGCTGTTTTGCAGAAGTTAGGAGTTTACATTCAATCTTTACAATGTTAGATGAGAAGTTTTTTTTTTAAAGTCACTTGGGAAACATTCAGGCTTGCAATTTAAGTGGACGAATTTAACCCTGATGCCATGGAACCGTGAAGATGAAACTGAGCTAAAACAAAACAAAACTTACTTTGATTCCAAGAGTCTTCCAACATGAGAGTGGAAATGAGTCATAACCACACACACACACACAAACGCGCACACACACACACACACACACACACACACTTTGATATGCCATTAAGCTCTGATGCAAACCCCATTTAGCCTGGTTTTTCCTTCCTATTTTCAATCAAGAAAGAAAAAAAGGAAGTCTTTCATTTAATGGTAAGAACCAACTATGGTCTTTATATATTTGCATAATAGTGACTAATTATAGGTAAAATTATATT